CTTCCTCAAGTTGAAGCAGAAGGGAGCGAACTCAACGGCAGGCGATTCAGAGTTGAGAGCGGAGAGTCCCTGGGAGATAGAGATGAGGTAAGAGAGTTGAGTAGATGAGTAGGTGAACAGGTAGATGAACAGGTAGATGAGAAGGTAGATGAACAGGTAGATGAACAGGTAGGTGAACAGGTGGATGAACAGGTAGATGAACAGGTAGATAAAAGGTAGATGATTTAAGTAAAGTAGATGATTAAAAGAGTTAAAAGGTAAGTAAATGAGTATATATTTTAGCCAGGTAGATTATATAGAAGAGAGATAAGTAGATATAAGGTAGACAGAACAAGCGTAGGTAGATGTAGTGAGGATATTTAGTAGACGTAGAATAGAATAAGTAAATAAAGTAGATATTCTTGTCTACCTGGATGTTTGGTAAAGTAGATAATGTTACATAAGATGTTTATGTCTACGTATAGGTTAGCGAGGAAGTGAGGTTAAGGTATTTGATGTTTAGTAAATAAAATAAATAGATGTTTAATGCTGATGTTTAACTAGGGAGTGAATGTTAAGTAGATAATGTTAGATGTTTATGGTGTTTACATCTACGTATTGTTGACGAGGAATTGAGGTAAGATAATGATGTAATAATGTTTAAATTGATGTTTTTTTTATCAACCTAGATGTTTAATTATGATGTTGTGTTTATATAAAAAAGCTTGCCGCATGGAATGACAGGACCCAAACTGCTTATTGTAGCACGGAATAAACCTGCTTAAACTACAATACGATAATTAATAGTTCATAAAGGCTATTTTGTATTGGTCGTTCAGGGATATGACGTCATGTAAGGATTAGATAGATAGATAGATAGAGATTTAAATTTGGCTTTATAGTCGTATGAGTCGTAATAGTTGTTGTATGAGTCGTAATAGTTGTTGTATGAGTCGTAATAGTTGTTGTATGAGTCGTAATAGTTGTTGTATGAGTCGTAATAGTTGTTGTATGCAAAAATAATTGCAAATAATAATTGTAAAAAATAATTGTAAAAAAAAAAATAATTGTAAAAATATATGAAAAACACGAACGCAAATTTTTAAATACGATAAATAAAAAAGTTTACAAATATTAGATGCATAGTGGAAAAAATATACGTATGAAAATGGCTATTTGGCAACCATAGGATTAAAGCATTGCTCGCTGAACCGTGAGAGAGGGGCAGAGGGAGGGAGAGGGAGAGAGTGAGGGGCGGAGGGGGAGAGAGAGAGATAGAGTTAGAGAGAAAGAACGAAAAGAGACTGGAGGAGAGAGAGAGAGAGAGAGAGAGAGAGAGAGAGAGAGAGAGAGAGAGAGAGAGAGAGAGAGAGGCTTGAAATGAAATTGCCAGAAACATTCAGATGGCGAGAGTAAAAAGTAACGGTAGGGAGAGGGAAAGGGAGAGGGGGGTGGGAGATGAGAGAAGGAAGGGGAGGAAATTGCCAGGCTAGGTGCAGATGGGAAGGAGGGAAAAAGTGGATGGGAGAGAATAAAAGTGAGGTGGAAGGAAGGGGAGGAGAGGGGAACTAGTAGATGTAAGGAGAATAAGGGAGAAGTCGGGTACATGAGAGAGAGAGAGGGAGAGGGAGAGAGAGAGAGATAAGATTATACCCTGAACTTTTTTGAGAGCTACAGACAGACACACACACAGACGAATAAACAGAGAAAGTATCGAGTAACTGATACAAAGGAATAAGAGAAAGCAAAATAAACAATAAATTAGGAATAAACAAAGACAATAATTGATACATGGGTAACAGATACAAGTAAATAAAGAATAAATTGATAAACAGAATGAAAACAAAACACAGAGGAAGTAATTTACGTATCAAAGGGAGGAGAGGAAGAAGAGGGTTAAGCATTTGAGGGAATAAATGAGGTGGATAGGGGAGGATAATTAATAACAAGGGTGGAATCATTAAGGAATACAGATAATGAATAGTAATGAATAAGTAATAGGATAGAACAAGGGAGGTAGAGAGAGAGAAGGGTAGATAAAGGGAGGAAGCAATGAATAATAATAGGGAAAGAAGTAGCGTATGATAATAATGAATAAGAGAGATCAATGAATGAATATCTCTGTCTCTACATGTTCTCAAATTCAGTGAGAGATGAAGTGAAGATTGAATATTAATGAATAACGGATGGGAACAGGGGAAGGAAGAGGAAAAATGAGACTTAATCTATAAAGAATGAGAAGAGGAAGAGGAGAAGAGGGAGAATGGGGGAATGAAGTGTAAAATAAATTCCGGAATATGAAACTAGAGAATAAGGGGAAGTGTAGGAAAAAAGTGACTGATGATGGAGAGAATGAGAGTGAGAAGAGAGAAATGAGGAGGAGGGAGAGAAAAATGAGAATAAATGTAAAAAAAATGAGGAGGGGACTAGACTAATGTGTATGTGTGTGTGTGTGTGTGTGTGTGTGTGTGTGTGGAACTGATGCAATTTTAATAGATAAAATAAATTAAAAAATACAGTATTGTCTTTATAAAATACATTCATATATCAAAGAAATTCAATACATTTAGTACACTGTATACAATTGTAATATAAGAGAAAATACATAGCAAAATACATACAGATATACGTGTATATTTGTATTTCAAGTTATGAGATTGTTGAAATATATCCTCGTGTATAGTGTATAATGTTATTCATGTATACACTGCGGGCTCGTTAGGTTGTATGCTGAAGGTTTCTATACACACTGTTCAGTATTTTTTTTAACAGATATACTGCATAATTATACCAATGTAGTAATCGTGGAGAGTTCAGTATTGCTACATACATACATACATACATACATACATACATACATACATACATACATACATACATACATACATACATACATACATATATACATACATACATGCATACATACATACATACATACATACATACATACATACATACATACTGAGAGCTCGAGCTATAACTTAATATCATGAGAGGGGTGAGGGGGGGGAGAGGGGTGAGAAGGAAGGAAGGAGAGAAAATCAGAGAATATGTTAATCATTATCTTCCCACCTGTACATTCCTCTACCCCTACTTTAACCTCCCTCTCCCCATCTTAACCTCTACCTTACCTCCCCAAACCACCTCTCCTACCTCCCCACCTCCCCACCTCCCTCCCCATCACTCCACCCCACTCCACCTCCCTCTCTCCCACACTCCACCCCTCCAACAGAACCAAAATAAGTTACGGTGTGAGAGAGACGAGTAAAAATGGTCTTTGATCACACAGGCCTCCCCATCACGACCTAATGAACTAACTTTAAATATTCAGCGCCACTAACTAATTGTATCAGTACGTAAAGTGAGATTCCGGGATGTTTAGGACAAGAGAAGAGGGTAGTGAGGGTGGGTTGAGGTGGCTGAGGGTGGCTGAGGGTGGGGCTGAGGTGGGGTTGGGGTGGGTTGGGGGTGGTGAAGGTGGGTTGAGGGTGGGTTAGGGGTGGGTTGAGGGTGGATTACTTGGGAGGTGAGGAGGGAAGGGGAGGTGAGGGGAAGGGAGAAGAGAATAAGGAGAGAAGGGGATAGTTAAGGTAGAGGAGAAGAGAGGTGGAAAAGGAGGAGTGAATGGGGGAGGAAAGGGAGAGCTGTTGAGAGGGGAAGATGAGAAAGCAAAAGGAAAGAGAAAGGGAGACGTGAGGGGAAACGGATCAAAAGAGGATGAGAAGGAGCTAAAGGGAGAAGAAGAGAAAGGAGAAAAATGGAGACAAAAGGGAGAGGGAGGGGGAGGAAGCTGTGGAAGAAGTAAGAGGGAGGAAGAGAAGGAGGAAGAAGGTGGAGGAAGAATAGGAAGAGGAGGTAAGCCACTACTCATATTGTTGAGGAATAAAGAAGGAATAGAGTGAGAGACAAAGACAACACACACACACACACACACACACACACACACACACACACACACACACACACACACACAAACACACACACACACGAAGAAATAAAAAAAAACACCAGAAAACATCGATCATTTTCCTCCGTATTATTACCAGTTTAATTTATTTTTTTCCTCCTTGTTTATTTAATATCTTGATTTTTTCTTATTCTTCGTTTTTGTTTATTTTGGGGGATTTTTTCTTTTGTTTTTTTGCCTATTATTCATTCTTGTTTATTTATCATATTTATTGTTTATTTTCTACCTATTTCCTGACTCTCCCCATGAGGCTAATCTCCCCTTCCTCCATGAAGCGGGTGGACGGGCGGACGGGCGGGTGGATGGACGGGCGGGTGGATGGACGGGCGGGTGGACGGGAGGGTGAATGGGTGGGAGGACGGGAGGGCGGGAGGACGAGCGGGAGGAGAGGGTTGGTAGGGCTCGTGTTGATGAGACGTGCTCCTCACCCTCAGGTAATGAAGCAGGTGCTGTGTTACCTGGTCCTGTAGATATACCTGAGGGTAGGGGAGGGAGAGGGGAGAGGGAGGGGAAAGAAGGAGGGGAGGGGAAAAGAAAGGGGAGGGGAGGGAGGAGAAAGGGAGGAAGAAGGAGAGGGGAGGAAAAAGGGAGGGAGAGAGAGAAGGAGGGAGGGAGAGAAAGAGGGGAGGGGGAGAGAGGGGGAGGGCAGAGGGAGAGAAAGGGCTGATGATGGATGGAGAGGGAGGAAGGGAGGAGAGATGGGGGAGACAGGCTGTGATGGATAGGTGTAGGGAGATGGAGGGAAGGTGAAATGTATACAGGAATGGGAGATGAAATACTGTTATGGGGAGGAATGGGGGCAAAGTGAGGGAAACAGTTTAGGAAATGGGAAATAATTGGGAAGGGAAATGTAAGGAGGAACAAGATAATAGGAGAGAGGAAACGGAAAAAAATACTGGGGTAGGTTGGGAGGAGGAGATGAAAGAGGGCAGGGAGAGGGATGGGGGAGAGGGGCGGATGAAAGAGAGGGGGTGGGGGTGGAGGGGATAGAGCAGGGAAAGGGGAATGAAAGAGGATAAAAATAAAGATTGATGATGAGGGTGGTGGAGGTATTGAGAGAGAGAGAGAGAGAGAGAGAGAGAGAGAGAGAGCATATAATCCACATAAAGATAAAAATACCAGAATGAAAGAATAATTGAAA